TCATTGGGCAGCAGGATCCCTCGAGCAACCATGGACACATCACGTATTTCACGCCCTTGAACCCCAGTGGACGTCGTGGAGTCGGCCCAGCTTGGGGAGGTGGCACTTGGAGCACGGATTATGACAGTTTCTGGTGCTGCCAGGCCACCGCGCTGGAGATCAACACCAAGCTCATGGACTCCATCTACTTTCATGATGACAGCACGCTCTATGTCAATCTGTTTACTCCTTCTCAGGTTACTTGGTCAGACCGCAGTGTAATCGTCAACCAGACCACGACCATCCCTGAATCCGACACCGCAACGTTCTCGATCGAGGGATCGGGCGAGTTTGCTATTGCGCTACGCATCCCATCCTGGACCAGCAATGTTGAGATCCAGGTCAACGGCTCTCCCGTCTCCGTGGAAGCGAACCCGGGATCATACGCTACCATTTCACGATCCTGGGCCAACGGCGACGTCCTGGCCGTGAAGCTCCCCATGGGCTTGTACACTGTCGTGGCCAACGATGACTCCTCGGTGGCAGCGATCGCGTACGGCCCGACTATCCTCGCTGCCAACTACGGGGACCGGACCCTGTCTGTAGTGCCGGAGCTTGACCTGGGTACCGTGAAGCAGGTGGAGGGGCTGAGCTTCGAAGGGACAGTTGGTGGGGAGACGGTCTCTCTTGGGCCTTTCTATGATGCTCATGGCTTCAACTACAATGTGTATTGGAAGATTAGTGGCTCGCTTTAAATGGTGGAGCTCAGAACTTGGGAATGAGTCAGTGGGAGCGAGATATGAGATATGATGTAGTTGATATAGTTGTTGCCTCTTAGACTACGAGAATCTACCTCGATTTATTGATGCATAGATGACACACTGCTCACTCGAAAGGCTTATGTGAATAAGCAATTGCTCTGGTCGGTTTTGACCACTTTGTCGAGATTTGTCCCTAAAAGACCGGCTCTTTGAATCCATGCCTATGTGCCAAGGAAAATCCGTTGTCAGTGCTGATCTGACCAGACCGGAGATGTGAATAGAAGAAACAACTCACGTCAATCACACTATCCTCCAAATGCTGTTGGCGACTTAGGATAAAGAGGGTGGAGAAATTGTTCGACTGAACAAGGGCTATATCATTGGCATAATCTACAACTCTGGAGTGATCAGTATCCAATTGACGATGTAGACACCCGGCAGAGTCAAGGGATGAAGCACTCTACCTTGAACAATGTAGTTTGGACCAGGGCATTTCGGCCCCGGCTGGCCAGGGAACTGCACCCGAAAGACCCCCTTGGTTCCGTACGCGGCGTCGGCAGGCGAGGCGGTGCCCAGGATGTTGCTGGCCCTGCCATTGGCCTCGCAGGAGTTGTTGACCTGGACAGTCCCGTCGCCGTTGAGGGCGTACTCGGCATTGATGCACTTGCAGTTGGCCGTGAAGGGGGCGAGCGTCCCTGCGACCTGGTACCAGCGGCCGAGATACGAGTCGAGCTCGAAGCCATCGTCGGCTGTCGGATAGTAGCAGTGGCCATCCCAGAGGGAGGGGACGACGGATGGAGTGCTGCTGGTCGCCGCGACGGCCGTGGCTGTGGCTGCTCCGAGAACAATCTGTGGGCGCATGGTGACTGTGATGATGATGAAGAATCTGCTGGCTATTTGTCCAGCTGAAGGGATGGCACTTGTTTGCTTTAACTTTGACGGAGCGCCCCGTCCCGTGCTTTATGTATGGGCACTCTCTGCTTGATGGAGCGAGGCTGGGCTCAGTGAATCATGTCTCGCACAAGGCCATGGCCCGAAGCCCGACAAGCAACTGCAGCATGTCCGTGTGTTACTGATGCTCCCATATCCACAAAATGTAATTCGCATTATATTACCATCTGGGAGAGGAATGACGGAGCAGGGACAAAGTGGTGACGCCATTCTGGTCTGCTCGCCTCCGCGTTTGGGGTAGCCTCGGGCTTGGCTCTGCACTACGGAAGCCAAGATGGAACTTTGGACAGAAGGTCGATCAGCGGTTTGTGAATCGATCCATGTGTGGCAAGTCCATCCTCTAGATCGTGCCCACGGGCCCTGGACAATTGAATTGCCGTCGCCAAGAGGCTGGGCTCTAATGCGCCTGTTGTATGAATATTGCTACGACTGACATGATCCCGCGATAAGCAACAGAGCGCTCTTGGATGGCGATGTACCTTCTAGAACCATCATACAAGAGTGGGACGGCATCTGAACCCATTCATCATCTCACATTGTGTCAGAATATCTCAACCTGCAATTTATCTCGGACGTGAACGACTCGACAACCGTACAACACGTGTTAGGTCTACTGAACACTCTTACAAGGCTTAAAGAGTGTAAACCCCGGCTGGAGGAGAAGGGTCAAGAAATTTTGGCTGTTTTTCTCTCTCCTTCACTTGTGGTTCAAGAACTGTAAACTTAGCCAGGGCTGAAAGACCCCCCTTCAACTTACCACGTCATGACTACGATCTATCTCGGCCGCTGCGACGGGGGGTATACGAACGACGGACTTACGATGCATATACTTACATACATAAAGAATCAAAGTAGGATTTTCCAGTATACAACTTCCATTCTCACTTGAGGGCATCCCGGACCTTAGTATCTATGCTGAAGAAGCCTGTCATGAGTTGAGAGAGCTAGTCTGGATGGAGAACTCAAGTAAATCTAGAGAAAGAGACAAAGGCAACACACTAGTAATGTGTCGGTACCTACAGAAAACACTATCGTAACGGAGTAAAGTAGTCTAATAATTGGGATTCATAGTAGTAACGAAGGATGTTGTAGCTGAAAAGGGGGGTTTCTCATGTGCCAACACCTTATTTAGGCCGAACCGGTGCTTGTGTACCCTCCAGGACCATTACTGAGAGGTTAAGCTTGACAAGAGGAGACCATCGGTCAGTCTGAAATATCCGATGGGACCACGAGACTCCGCGTGGCATTCCAAGTTTGCACTATTAAGATGAACTCTCGACCGATTACGTAGCTGTGCGACGGTGCAACGTGGCCGGCAGCCTAACACAAGCCACAACTCCTTGCAAGAGCGTTCGCCTTATCTCGTCTCTGACCGCCCATGCCTTCCGCACATTCCCCGTCGTGGAGAGAGTCAGGAGACTAGTCAGGCGCACACTGCAAACGGAACACAGAATGGGACCGTCCAGAAGGCTCGCATATACAACGCAGAGCCCAGCCGACAAATACGTCCCTTGACCCCTCTTTCCCATCCTGTGTCACCACCCTTAAGCAACTCTCCGGGAGCGGTGTGCTCTGTGGAAGATATCTAACCCAAATCAACAACCGACGCCTTATGCCCGTCGATGCCTTTTCCCGTTGTTGTGGAAGCTGCCAACTCACGCCCTTCCTAGGAAGCACCAAGTCAACGTACTGGAAGATTCCGTCCCTGTGCACTCCCACAATGCCATACTCATCACCAGGCACCATGTTGTGTAACACGCAGAGTGCCATCGTCCTCGTGACCCTCTTGGAAATGCATCTGTAGCCGGCTTGTTGCTCAGAACAGGCTAGAGTTAGATGCTGGTGGCAAACCTGCATAGAAGAATTCGAGAACCTCCACACCATCGGAAGCAAGTTCCCAATTTGCGCATATCCAGTCCCATCTTTTCACCTATCATTCTCCAGGAACCACTCACCGCCTCTCGATGTCGGTTGAAACTGCTCTCAGGGTCTGGACGCGGCTATCCGCTTGACTAGCTGGCCTTGCACCGAAGGTGGAGGTCGTGAGTGGCCGTTGCTTGAGGATCCTGCTCAGTCTTGACGCAGGAAAAGAATGCATTCCTGCCTTATCTCTTGCTTGGAAGCAATGCGGTTATCGAGTAGGCTGCTCCGACCAAAGCTGCCGGGTTGAAAAGGGACCGAGTATCCCTTTCCCCCACCCACACTTCCTTCATCACCATTCTCTTCACCAGCACTCCGACCTATATTGAGCTGTTGTGCAAACTTCCATCTTGAATTCTACTAGACTATCAACAAGAGGTCTGCTGGCACACAAACGTCATGTCATCTCTCACTTCCCTCCACACCGGAGCTGAACCTGATCAAGCCATTCCACAAGGCTCCAGAATCTCTCTTCCAGATTGGCGCACAGAATCCCCTCGTCTCACCCCGTCTCCCTTTCGCTCCCTCCAAGCCACAATGCAAGCTGTCAAAACTCCAGTGCCCCCCTCTCAAGGTGTCACTCCAGAATATCAAAGCATGATAAAGGGCATGGTGGCCGATGCTGTTCGGGATCTACTTTCGGGCAATGGGGCATCTTCTCTTACCTCAGAACTGGGTAATAAATGGAGTCTTCCAGAGAATACATGTTACTCCCAATCTCCTTTGGTGACAGATCTCATTGATCATCAGCTCGCCAATCGCCTAATTTTGCGTGGAGATTTCGCTTCTCTAGATAACTATGATGCCTCTCCTTCACCATCTCTGCACTCATCCCCTTCATATATCGGCAACAGCAAGCATCGTTGTGATTTCTCGGAGCTTCCAGCTTCACCAACGAGCAGTTACTCAACTACCGGAGGTTATAATGCAGGCATCATTGGCATGGGCCCTTCTCCTACCCGCCCACGCATTGATGGGCAATCCGACGACCTTTATACCCCCAGGTCAATGCTCTCAATGCTCCCCTACTCGATGGCGGACTCGAATGAGAGATCCGGAATTTCATCCGCATGGAAGCACATGCCAACCTCCCACCCTAATGAGCTTCGTACCCAAGAGAAGCCAAGGACTCTGCCAGGATCCTACCACACCTTCATCGATCAAGATGAAGAAGTGTCCCAGCGAATGCGAGCTTTGGGAGTAGCATTTGACACCACTACTTCATCTACCTTGTCGGCACGTATGGTTTCTCCACCCACGTCCGGGTCCTTCACGTCTCATCATCTGAGTTCTCTCACACGGACCGATGCTCCTGGAAATCAGAAACTCTTAAACGCGTTCCTTCAATCGGCCACCCCCACCAATCCCCCACCTCAGTGTTTCCGTCCAATGTCGGCAGTCCTCGAGGCCAAGTTCAATCCTCAAGCACGGCCCTTCTCACAAGATGGCACCGACAACCAACATGAAGGCATGCACTCTAGATTCTCCAAACGCTACCTAGGCAAGCACACCGAGAAGAATGCCAGCCAGGATCATTTGGAAAACCATGAGAGCTGCTCCCTGTGGCTCAGAAACCTGCCACCCAACATCACCTATGCCGAGCTCCTCGACACCATTTCCGGCATTGGTCGCGTCTGGGCCACCTACATCAATAGGCCGGATGCGAGGCACGATACCGCCGCCGCCAAGGTCATCTTCTTCAACCCTGAGGCTGCGGCCAAATACCTGGAGCACATCGAGTCGACCAATCTTCAGATCCGAGGCTTTCCAGTCGCAGCTGAGTACAACCGGGTCAAGATCCCACGCCAGCTATCAGGAGGCCCGCAGGCTTCCAGGGTTCTCATCATAATTGGCCACTCCGACTTTGTGAACAAGGAGAGCCTGATCAGATTCTTCCACGACCTGATCCAGTTCCACAATGACCGGGTTATTGAGCGGTTTCGCGTCGGCACGCGGGCAGTGATCGAGTTCCGGTTTGGAAGCTACCGCGCCCAGTCCTCCAGTGCCAAGTTGGCACTGGAGAAGAACCAGCCGGGCGGTCTTGAGTGTGTGCGGTATGGCCAGGACCCATGTGAGGTGGGAGAGACTACTTTTTCTTATGAACCTAGCAGCGAGTGAGCTTCCCGGGAAGCGAGGTGACTTGGTAGGCAGCAGGCAGACTCTGTACTGACAACGGCATGGGACAGTCGGATCTAGAAGCCCTCGGTGGCTGTCTTGCTTTGGGAGGATCTTTTATTGATGTATTAATGATTTGATGGAACATTTATTGATGATTTGTGTGGTATGATTCGTATGATTAGAGTAGCTTGCTCGTGGGGATGGATAGGTTAACCAGATGTTTGCCGTCTTACATGTTAGTTCGTTGGCTACGATTCAGCGTTCAGAGAGCGGTAGGCCGGGCCTGCTAATTCATCTGGCACTACATATTGACACTGGGACATGAGAACGAGTAGACAATGTAACACTCATTCAATTTCATTAGTCTTTAGAAAAGAACTGCCGTGACTTGTGTGAACGGCAGAGACTTTTACCAATACCCCCGTCCGTTGACCTCTCTCGGCGTCTCTTGCGAGCAACCCGATTTTTCCAGCCGAGCAGTTCCTTGGAACTGTTAGAAAATTCCACGTAATACGGTTCCTGTGGTGGCAACTCTGTGTATCATTCGGGAAGAGACAGGCCAATGCTCGAGGCCGGTAGGCTTCACATGCGGGGCGCCACGAAAAGTCGGAGCTGGGGGTTCATCAACGTCAGCCAAGGATCGAGTCATGGCGATCCGAAAACAGGTTGTCTGCAGGCTCCCTCAGCATCCAGTGCCCAAAAAGACTCGGGTCGGACAGTACGGCTTGTCTTTGCGACGGGCAAGTCCGGTAAGCTTGGTGGGTTCGTGGCATAGAGCTGTTGAGTGTGCCTCGCCCATTCGATTCTAGGTCTCAATGTATGATTCACACATTTATCCTCCTATACGCTTGTATGTACTTATGTCCAGTTGTCTGGTAGGTTTTAGTAATTTTTCAGAATCAGAGAAGCCGGATCTAGATGCATGTGGCACAGACTGAGCTCGTATGCTGCGCTGGAACGGCCTCGTTCATGCTGTGCCCGCCGTGGATCAGCCAAGAGGACTGTCTGAATTCGTTCCACTCTTCATCTAGCTTCGGACGGGTCGATGTGATTATTGTTAATATTAATATTAATTCTATTTCTGTTGTTGTTTAGGGTAGGTGGCGGGACGAGGTAGTTATTTTTACCCAGAAAGATTCTATAACCCAGGTATTTCCGTTTTGCTTGATCCACGCTACAAGGAAAAGCGATCAGGACTTTGGTGTTTATTCTTAGCTGGCAAGGCTGGATAGATACCTAGGGACCTTCAGTCAATGATGCGGGCAATAATAGCATGCTGGTAGGTATCTCCCGGCTGCTCAGCCACCAGCGGTTCAGTGAATAGCTGCCTGCTACTGTCGATAGACGCTGTATTCAACGTGGCTAGTAGTAGGCAGGAGCCAAGTGCCGGTCAGCATGTGGTCCATGTGGCTGAAATAGAAGCCTGTGCCACGCCTGATCTCACCCGCTTGGGGCCTAAGATAAGATACAGACCTAGTGCGGTCCCTGGACGTTGTCCCAAAATAGCACCGCTTCGGCTCCGTTATTTTTACGCTCCGTTGCTATTCTCTCAGAGGCTCAGCAGCTCTCCTCAATCAAGGAAGAAAGTCTAGCGCAGCACTGCCATGTCACCTTTTTCTCCGCGATCCCCGTCAGCACCACCCCCGATCGCCATCAGCGGACCTTGACCGGACGTCCTGTCCTGGTCTATACGGCTGCTAATTTCCCCAACCTGCCGTACGACCTTGACCGCGAGCTCTCTGTCCAGTCCAGATGCCGGATCGACGCCACCGTTAATGCTGGCTAGCCACACCGCAACGGAGCTGGTTGTTGGGGCTGCTGTGGCCGGATATCGAAATGTGTGTGACGGTTGGCAACATGAAACACACTTGCCTTCAACCCGTATCTTGGCAAGTGTTCCTTGCTTGGTCTCTGCCGCCCGAAACGTCATGGTCAGCCAGGCACTACGGGAAGGCCACGGTGCCCCCTGACTGGGCACAACCCATCCCTACATTGGTCCCATGTCGATAGGCAAATGGGCCATCTCGTGAGCCTCTTCACCGTCGATCGGGAGGCCCATACGCAGGGGTAGACAAGCCACCCCAAGGCTCTGGACTAAAGCTCCTTGGCTGTAGATCGTGGACCAGGTCACCCATACCGTTGCCCAATCAAGAAGTAAGTGGACCATAGGCGCAGGTTCTCCTGTTCACAGCCGCCAGTATTACTCTGTAGATCCATGGCATTGTGCTTCCATCTGGTGGAGACCACGGCTCAACCCAAGATGTTGGGGCAGCAAGTGTAATAATAGATGAGGAAGAAGGGGTAAGTAAAGGTGAATCGCAAGCAAGTTAAATACTCTCCTTCTCGTCTCTCGAATCTGTCAGTCCTAGCCCAGGACCACTATCCAGCTTCTTTCTGCTTCACCTTTTTAATAATTCATCAGCTTTTTTCTTCCTATTTTCTTTGTATCGGGTTCTCTAGTCCGCTTCTTCTTAGACTTCACGGTTTATACATTCTCGCCAATTCATACTATCAGCACCGCCAACATGCGTCCTTCTACACTTCTGGCTTTCCTCCCCCTGGCCATGGCTGCCCCTTCTCCCGCTCCCCTCAAGCGCGACAGCCCTGCTCCTCTTATCGCCCCCCGCGGCAACAAAGGTGTACCCAACAGGTTCATCGTCCGGATGGTGGATGGCATCAAAGAAAGTTCCATGTCTTCCTCCATGAAGTCCCTCAAGACGTCATCACACTTCAAGTACTCCAAGAGCTTCAACGGATTCGCTGCCACCTTGGACGAAGATCAGCTTGCAGCCATCCGAGAGAACCCCAATGTAAGTTGCTTAATAAACACGGTTGCTTTCTGCCTCTTCCGACCTTAATTCTAGAGACTCACAAGTAAATTAGGTCGAATACGTCGAACAGGAGCAAGTCATGCAAATCTACGAGACCCAGCAGGATGCCACATGGGGCATTTCCCGACTTTCCTCCCAGACACCAGGTGCTACCACCTACAGCTACGACGCGGCCGCCGGCGAAGGCACATGCGCATACGTCCTTGACACTGGTATCGATGTCGCCCACCCCGAGTTCGAGGGCCGGGCCACTTGGGCCGCCAACTTCGCTTCCGGTAACAGCACTCGTGATGTCCAGGGCCACGGCACCCACTGCGCCGGTACCATTGGTTCCAAGACCTACGGAGTGGCCAAGAAGACCAAGCTCTTTGCCGTCAAGGTGCTCGGCGATGATGGCTCCGGCACTACCTCTGGGGTGGTCGCTGGAATGGAATGGGTTGTCAAGAATGCCGACAAGTCAAAGTGCCCCAATGGCATCGTCATCAACATGTCGCTTGGCGGTGGCTACTCTCGTGCTCTCAACGATGCCGCCGCCGCTATTGTTGACTCTGGATTCTTCCTTGCCGTAGCTGCTGGCAACTCCGCCGTCGATGCTAGCACGAACTCTCCTGCTTCCGAACCCAAGGCTTGCACCGTCGGTGCCTCAGACTCCTCGGACAAGATCGCCTACTTCTCCAACTTTGGCAAGCTCGTCGACATCTTCGCTCCCGGCGTCAAGATCCAGTCCACATTCCCCGGTGGGAGGACCAAGGTCATGAATGGGACTTCCATGGCCTCTCCCCATGTCGCTGGCCTCGGTGCCTACCTCCTCAGCGTTGGCCAGAAGGCTGACGGCCTCTGTGACTACATCGCCAAGACTGGTCTCAAGAATGCTATTTCTGGTGTCCCCAATGGCACCGTTAGCACTCTTGCTAACAATGGCTTCTCCGCCTAGTAATTGTATCTGTTTTTTCTTCTTCTTCTCTTGTCACGACGACAAGTTTGATTTCTTCCATTATGAGCTTGGAAGGAATATATTCTGCTATGATGCCATAATTAGATATAGAAACGCATTGCCGCCGCGGGTTGTTTTTGGGTTTCGGATATTAGAATTAGATGTGTTTTATTTTCTGTTTCATATTTTCGCCTTTGGGCTTTTCAACAATTGAGATTAATTCAATATTATTCTAACTTTCAAGTGTCACCGTAATACTTGACTTCTATCCATATTAGCGGCCTCCGTTGATACATACTTAGCCATGATTATTGATTTTTTAGCTGCTGTCGACATATCACTTGAGATTCTCCTTAATCCCTACCACCTTGTAGTTGATACATGATTATTTCTATCGAACATGCATATGCACATCATCAAAGTGCACTTTCACGTGCGGGGTCAGATGGCTGCAGGCCACCTCAGAGTGTGCCTGCAGCCATCTGTCCTGACAATCTCTTGCTGCTAAACACAGCATCACCTCTTGCAACCAAAACCTTGAGTCGGCAGACGTTGTATTCGCATGCCATGTGGCTGATAAATGTGCACAGCTACGATCTCGAGGAGTTCCTCGGCGAAGGAGAGACTCCGCCGCCCACATGTGGTCGCGGCCAGCGAGCGCCGAAGTCACGTTTCGAGAAATGCGAGAAGACCTCGCTTCTGCGCAATCGAAGATGTGCTTTACGAAGATCTTCAATAGCTGCGTTATTGCCAAATCGCACGACCTATCTTGGGTTTGGATCGATACTTGTTGTATTGATAAGACCAGCAGCGCGGACCTTTCTGAAGCTATCAACTCAATGTACAGATACTACCGGGATTCAGCAGAATGCCTCGTGTATTTATCTGATTTCTCATACTATCAGCCTGGAGCTTCTCGGGCTAAGAAACTGGAAGCCATCGGCCAGAGTCGCTGGTTCTCGCGGGGATGGACGCTGCAAGAGCTCATTGCGCCCAAGAAGCGCCATTTTTACGACGACAATTGGGAAGTCATCCCTGGGGGAGCAGATCTATTACAAACCCTCGCCCAGGCTGGGAACTTGCCGGTTACAATCTTGGAGGACCGAAACCAGTTGCCGAATATCAGCATCGCAGACCGCATGGTCATGGCTTCAAAGCGAACCACAACACGAGGCGAAGACATGGCATATTGCCTGTTCGGCATATTCGATGTCAATTTGCCCATTCTTTACGGCGAAGGCGCCAAGAAGGCTTTCCGCCGCTTGCAGCTGGAAATCATGGCAACCAGCCCATTTGACCAGAGCATCTTCGCTTGGCGCGCCGATCGTCCGGACAGCGGGTTGCTGGCCAGTTCTCCCTCTGATTTTGCCGACACGCCTTCCATCATGCATTGGGTTTCCAAATCCTTCATCCCCTTTTCCATGACCAACGTGGGCCTCTCAATCAGCTGCACCCTTGCGGACGTGCCCGAAGAGGAAGATACAAGTCCCTCGGCGCCATCTAGGAAGATTGACTATGTGCTGGCGCCGCTTCAATGTGATCTCGCGGATGATGTATCTTCATCCGTGTGTCTCTACCTCAAATATGACCCGGAATGCCACTTCCGCGTTAATGATAAATGGCTCCCCGCGCATCGTCGTGTCAAGTGTTCGGAATGGAAGCTTTTGCCTCACAAAGCTATTTTCCATGCAAACTTGAAGCCTATTGTGGTCTTGGAAGACGAGCAGTTCAGGCTCGTTTCACTTTCTTGAGGCATCCCGCCTCGAATAGCGGTCGAATCCGTATACTTCGATGAGGATCAGAAACGCCCGGGACATCGTTGAGACAAGGCAAGTTGGGCAACACGAAGCGAAAAGCTTCATTCAATGACGAAATGAGACCAAAACATCAGCCGATGTCGATTCTGTCCAGCAAATATATCTTCTTTTCTTTTCTAGAATATACTTGATCTGGAATCCCAACCTGCTCAAGACATATCCCCGCCCAAGATGCTAAATGAGATGGTCGAATCTCAGCCGTTAGAAACCCCATCGTATAAATGTACAACTCTCAATTTAACAACACCAGCAGTAGAATATGCCAATCCTGGACTAGGGACCACAATATTAGCAATGAATCCTGCCACCGTCGAGCCTACACCGAGTGTTTGACCCAGTACGCTTGCGGGTTACACCACCCCTTCAGCCCAACCTCGCCCCAGTCCATGCCCAGACCGCTCTGCTTGTGGCCTCCGAATGGCACGTTGGGCGCCAGCTCGAAATGCGTGTTGACCCAGATGCTGCCCGCCTCGAGCTGCTCGACCATGCGCTGCGCACGGGGGACGTCCTTGCTCCAGACCGAGGCGCCGAGACCCATCTCCGTCGCGTTGGCACGTCGGATAACCTCGTCCTCGTCCGTCCACTTGAGCACAGGCACGATGGGCCCAAACGGCTCCTTGGTCACGATGTCGGAGTCGTCGGGGGGGTTGTCGATGATGGTGGCAGGCATGTAGAAGCCCTTGCCCTCCTTGGGGCCAGGGGCGCCGCCGAGCGCCGTCTTCCAGCCCTGCTTCTCGATCTGCGAGTAGAACGCCCGCAGCTTGTCGTACTGCATCTCGTTCTGGATGGGGCCGAAGAAGGCTTCTGCGTCGGTGTGGTCGCCGACTTTGTACTGTTTCACTGTCTCGATCAGCTTGGCGAGGAATTTATCGTAGATGCTCTCGTGTACAAAGATGCGCTTAATGTTCATGCAGATCTGGCCGCCATGTACATATGTAAGGAAGGCGATCTGCGTTTTGCGGTCAGCACGTCAACGATGGATATCGTCATATCGTCAAGATATCAGAAAGGGGTATATACCTTGGCAACGACCGCGTCGATGTCGACGTCCTCGCAGACAATAGCTGCATCATTACCCCCCAACTCGAGCGTCACGCGCTTGAGAGTTCCAGCACAGGCGGCCATGATTTTCTTTCCTGTCGCAACAGAACCAGTGAAACTGACCTTTGCGACATCAGGATGGGCAGTCAACTGGGGTCCCAGACTCTCCTCTCCGCTCAAGGCCTGGAAAACGCCTGGAGGGAAGATTTTGGTACCAATTTCTGCCAACTTGAGTGCCGAGTATGGGGAGAATGGTGAAGACTTCCATATGAATGTGTTGCCAGCAAGAAGGGCAGGAAGGAGCTTGCCAATTCCTAATGTGAGAGGGAAATTCCATGGTACAATTCCTACTCCTACACCGAGAGGAACATATCGCACGATCGCGGTGCGCTAAAGAATGCAACCGTATTAGTGTGTTGTTTTCTTTTTTGGGGATATACAGAGAAACACCAAAGTGCCATTTGACTTACATCTTCGTCATCAATTGGCTTTTCCTCCTTGATTCGAAGCTGGGGAGTTCCGCGGGCCAGGCCCATGACCAGGAACATCTCAAAGCCACCGGCTCCAGGTGGCTTTCCTACCTCCTTGCCGAGAAGGTCAATGAACTCTTGCTGGTTTGCCTCGATGGCATCCGCAAACTTGTTCAGATACTCTGCGCGCTCGTCGTACGAGAGCTTCCGCCAGCCGGGATACGCGGCCTTGGCTGCGCTCACGGCACGGTCCACGTCCTCTTGAGTTGAGACTGGCACCTCCCACAAGGGCTCCTCGGTGCTCGGGCAGATGGCCCGGCGTGTGGTTGCTGTTGAGGTCAACTCATTGTTGATGATGTTGTGGAACGTCTATATCGAGTAAGCCATCAGCCGATCCGGTCATCGAAACCAGAGAGCGGTCCCACTTACATCAAAAGAGACTTTGTAATCTGTTGCGGACGCCATGATGGGCCTGTTTGCAGTCTGGTCAAGGGGGTTGAGTATTTAGAGCGATAGTCTATATCCAGAGAGAAACTATAGCAAGAAAAATGAGACCAGGCGAGGGGAAACCCAAGGGCGGATGAGGGTCCTTTTGACCGGTTTGTGCCTTGTTGGTAAGACGTCTGCTTTCATCCTATGGTGCATCTACGGCCATTGTGTGCCTACTACTCTGGCCCACCAAACATGGTGGAGGTCGTATCGTTCGTGGACAAAAGCGGGCTCAACCCGGTCGTGGACAGGGTTTCGATCTAGTCCATCACTGTTGGTTGCTTCAATCTCGTCCTCCAATTTGAACTTTGGTGTCGTTTCGGCAGGGGCCACGAAGCCGTTGGTCCCAGTATCCGGCCCTTCTGGTCTAGATTGGTCACTACCCATGCCTTTTACGTCTATTCGGGCCAACAGGAACTTGGCACCGGGCAAGAGAGCAGGGTAAACGTGTGTGAAGGCTTGTTGCTCCTGGCTCGCAAAATTATCATCGCCTTGAGCTAACTCAGCATGTCTCCCAGACACTGCATTGTTCTCGCATTGTTCTCTGGCTGCCAATTTGTGTATCCCCGCCCTGGGGTGTTCGCGTTTCCCTAAATCCTGAATGGGGTATCCTTTCTCCAGCCCAGAACGTTTGCTGACATGCCGCCATCTGGCAACTCCCCACGATTCAGAAACGCTCCCATTTTGGTACCATTTAGCGAACATCTGACCTGCACCATCTTGCGGTGCAACCTCCAGTTCTCAAATCTCAAACAAAGGGGCTCGAACCTGGGCTCGGGTCCCACCGAGACCACATCAACATATGCATCTACAAGGCTGCTGCATCCACCAACCTCGGCAGAGCCCGGGTTCTTGGGAGCAGCATGTCGAGATCATCAATCACATTTTGAATGCAATTTCGAAAAATCCGCATACATAGGGTCCGGGGCCACTTCAACGGTTCCCCGTCGATACCGGCGATCAACCCTCGAGGGCTGCCTGCCAGGTCGGCATCCGCTCGAACCCCGTCCTCGGCATTTGCACGATCACCATTTGTTCCCCTGCCCGGTACATTTGCCTGTTCGGTGACGGTCAGCTTGCTTTTTTCAAATGGCCTGTCTGATGCCCACAATTATTGTCGAGCCTCGGTGGCCGCATACGAACTTAGGAGACAAGTTCCACTTACAGCCTGTCAATGTCGGTCATGAATTAATATAATCTACCGCCCACATCCCTCGTTTCATTCCGGATGTCTGGATCTCAGCTGCAGATACATCATGGCGTACAACTCGGCACTTGTCGAGACATGGTGCCTCTACGCCGTGGGGTCCCTGATCTTCATGGCCAGAATAGCCTGCCGTATACGAACTATCGGACTGGCTGGCTTCAAGCCCGATGATTACATCGTCTTCCTGTCATGGGTGAGTACAACCTCGCTCTCCTCCAGGACCCCTCCCGGCATCGATCCTTTGGTACACGAAGCTAATAATGGCAATCTGATAGGGAACTTACACAGTCATGACCGTTGCAGCGCACTTCGTTGGCGGCGTCGGCGACCTACATGCACTATCCGAGGAAGAACGCAAAAATCTGACGGACGAGGAAGCAAAGGTTCTGGTCTTCGGGACGCAGTGGTTCTGCATCGGCGTCGCGACGTATGTCCTCTTCATCTGGACACTCAAACTCAACATGCTCTTCCTCTATCAACGCGTGGTCAAGGGGCTGTGGGTTTCAAGGTTCATCAAGCCGACCATCTATCTGGTCATCGGAACCTTCGTGGCCATTTACTTGATACTCTTTTGCGCATGCCGTCCGTACAGCCGGATGTGGACTGTTTATCCTGATCAGGGTGGTGAGTTGGCCGACGCAACATTTTTATGGCACATCAGCTGGCTCTTTGCTAACATTGGATTCAAAAGGGATCTGTCGTCCGGATTCCGTGCTCAACATGGTGCCGGCTCTAGTGATGAACGTCATCACAGACGTGCTCATCATGGCGATTCCAGCACCAGTTGTGATACCTATAAAGACAGCGCTGTGGAAGCGCATCACCCTGATCGCCCTCTTCGGAGCCGGTCTCTTCATAATGATCGCGGCCATTCTCAGAGTGACCATGGTCCTTGTGGTAAGCTATGACCCTTAGCCCTTTTTCTTCTTCGTCGCACTATCATGCCGCCTCTTTCTCGGCATCATCGTTCGTCCCACCAGAACTGACAATGCATGACCTCCTGCAGATGAAGACCGGGTCTACCGCAGCGATATGGTCGTGCCGTGAAGACTTTGTCGCCATCGTCGTTGGACAGGCCATCCTAGTCCGCCCCATCTTCACCAGAAACTTCTGGACCACCGGGACGTACAGGTCATCCGGAGCTGGATATTCCTCGAAGAACAGCGCCAACCCCGGCGGATCCGAGGCAGCCACCAAGCGGAGCAGAGCCAACAAGGACCCCTTCAGCGTGACGGTCGCGCTAGCCACCATCAATCGCGACGGCAGCGAGTCCACCGACGGGATTATCGATCCATCCACGGCACAGACCGGCCAGATCCATACCATCCGAGAGTGCTCGCGGTCCTCTTCCGAAGAAGACGACCTGGAGAGCGCCGGGGGAGCAAGGAGGGGGGAAATGGTCATCCACGTCAGCCAGGACGTGCGGGTCGAGAACACGGGCAGGGGAAACGGCGGCCATCTGACGATGGGTCGGTCGAGCCACTCGCTGCGTGCCACCAGCAGGGCGGACTGTTGGAACGAGACGCAAGCTGCTGGCAGCGAGAACCAACAGCATCGGGAGCGTCCATGATTGGTGGTGGCACAAAGGGGGGAGGGAACCCTCCGTTACACCAAGGATGGGCTGTTTGCTGCATGTTTCTTTGCTTTTTCTTCTTCTCTGTACCGTTTTAGCCCGATATCTTCCAGCCACTTATAATTAGACAGCCCTTGACTGGGTCTGGGGCAAA